GAATCGAACCCTCGTCGTCTCATCGTCGTTTCCCCCTTTGCTCGCCGCCGGTTGCCGCCGCCGCGATTCGCCGTCGCCGGCCACCCTCCGGCGAATCCGAGCCGTTGGCTCACTCTCTCTTGTCTTCCTCGTCGTTCCGGTGTGCTCCCCGTCGCCTCTCGCCGTCGCATGGTGTCCCGGTGAAACTGCCGCCGTCCGCCGTCTATTCTCGGCCGGCCTCCTCCTTCCTCCCGCCGGCCCGCATGGCAGCCATGAAGGCGCCACGTCGGCGCCAGCTCGGCTGCGACCGGGTCAAAAGACTGGTCGGCCGCCTCCCTCCGTCACATCTTTCATGCGCCTGGTCCACGGAGAGCCCTAGCGGCTGCACGTGGGCCCGCTGTCTCTTGGTCCACCCAGTGCTCAAGCCGTGAGCCGCATCCACCTCCCTCTCCCCCGCGCCCCCCCTCAGTTGGGCCGCCTCCCCGTGGCCGCGCCGGCCCAATGGCTCGGCCGAGCCGCTAAAATCCTTTGGGCCGCGCCCAAGCGCCTGAGAAAGTCTGAAATTCGCCCCTCCTTCTTTCTTTTTCAAAAAGGGTTTAATTAAATCCTTTTCCTTTGATTAGAAAATCCTTTCAACCTTAGAAAATCCATATCTCCCGATCCGTAATTCCGATTGACCCCATTCCACTTCCAATAATTCTGTAAAATTGAGATCTATCTAATGGCACTATTAATTTGTCTAAATAGGGTCTTTCTTTTGGTCCTTGTTTAGGTTTTGATTGTTTGCGTATAGTTGCGGTTACCGGATTTTCTTCAATCGTGGATTTCTCGAAGATTCGTGAAGCTCCGTGAAAACCTTGAGCAAGGCAAGTCACCCTTTGACCAATTGCTCCTATAATTGGAAAATCATTATTATTTTGTTTGCAACTTGCATTATTAGAACCACTCACGTTTAACTTGCTTGGCCTCGGTTTGCATGCCAAACCGATGGACCTACCTAGTAGTCGCACTAATTCCTGTAGGCTGTACTACCTTGACTCCTTGTCGCTCCACCCTTGTGGTACTTCGGTATCCGTGCTCTCTGAGCGCGTATACCAAATATCCCATATACACCGTTGATTGTCGAAAACTTGGGAAATGGGTTTGAGAAGCCTTGAAAACCCGACACGTGGTGTCGGCGTGTTTGAAAATAAAATAGTTTGTGAAAACTCGCGATGCGGGTGCCGTGCCTACGTGGCGTTGTCCCGTATTCACATATAAGGACCGATTCCTGTGGGAAACTCATCGAGCATAATCAAAGTGCAACCACAAGGTGGAATGGGACACCCTGGCTAAGTAACTAGTCGGTTCAGGGAAACCTCGCATGCCAATAGTTGGGAACGCCGGGGCGGGGTCGGTTGGAGCCAAACCGGCTTCCTGGTAAGCAAGGAAGAGAAGCTTGCAGAATTACCGATCGAGGTGGTTGGAGTTTGATTTGTGAAAACTAAAATGGCCTATATTTATGTGAGGATTTGATCCTTCTATGTGGCATGAGGTAACCCTGGGTTGGCTAGGAAAAGGTCTTGTCGCGAATCTCCCTTTTTCCGCCGTGCGTCATGAACACGGGTTCGGCAATGGGAGCAAGTTCGTGTCTTGTGGGTAAAGTGTACCCCTCTGCAGAGGTTAACTAACTGTTCGAACAGCCGTGCCCACGGTCATGGGCGGATGTGAGGTGGTTCCCGTTGCGTAGATTTGATTGCTTGTGCTTTGTGAAAAGTTGTTGTGGTGTGGGAATCGTTACCAGAATCAGCCTATGTGGCAGATAGATGACCTGAGTGGTCAGAAGCGAATCTGTGTGATTCGGGATGTCTACGGGCATCATAGACTAGGCTTCCCGAGTGGAAGCAGATTGTTGTGCTGCTGGGCAGCAGGACTCTGGGAGTCCGAGAAAATGAAAAAAGCTCTGGGAGCCGATTAATCAAGTGAAATGGCTCCGGGAGCCGAGAAGTAATGATCTGACCCGGGAGGTCGGTACATTACCATTTGAGTTGTTGAAAAGCATCTCTTAAGTCGGATCGAGACGCAAGTCTCCTTTTCGACCCAAACTTAAAAAAGAAATAAATCACTTAGTGATTTCAAAATGATTTCAAATAAAGGATTTGCAAAACAACCTTGCCTCTCTTCCAAGCTTGCATTAAACACCTAAATTCCCGTGACTTGCGGAGTACGAAAGTACTTATCCTTGATCTATATAAATATATATAGTTCCTCCGCCCTGAAGTTGAAGATGAAGTAAAGTGAAGATTAGGGTTTCGTCCTAGTTCCCAGCCGTCGCCTGTGGTGTTGGGTGTTAGTTCGTTGGTTCCGCTGCTGCTGCTGCTGGTGTTTCCTTGTCCGTGTCGTCTGTTGCATTTTTGGGCTCTTCTGAGCTGCAACCTAAGTTAAGGTAAATAAGTCCTCTATTTATTTTAAGGATTGCAATGATTCATATTTGTCACCGTGGGTACCAGCACTATGTCCTGGGACTGGTACTGAGATCGCGGTTTCGTAGGAAGCGGTTCATGCCGTTTCTCCTACGACACGCTCTAGTCAGGTGCCGTTGTACGACGGTGCCGGATTGGGGTGTGACAGAGGGCACAGCAAAAATGGGCAAAGGATAGAGAGGATTTCCTAGTGAAAAACAGTGTCTACAGAAAGCTTATTTAATCCTATCGCAATACTTCAGGCACTGGCTAACCCACTGCTTCTAGATATCGCTCTACTCCGTACCCAGACAGGGAGGACTTCAGTGCTTCTGAGGGCTGTCACCACCTCTACACCCACCTCAAATCTACTGTGGGATACGCAGCAAATAATGGTACTCAATAATATAGACACCAAATCTACAGTATTTAATACTACTCTAATGCCGATCAAACATCAAAGTAAACACTATATCTAATACACAATATTCTAGTAAGCTTAATAGAAACTAACTAAGAGATAATCCTCACAAAGTAAATCTTAATTACTCGATAAAGATATTATCAATTTAAGCAGAGTAATTGACAAGGTACAAAAGTAAGAGAAGAATTACCGACAACTTCAAAATTCCTCTGATTCTTCTACCTTAATTTCTCCCTATTCTAATGTCCGTAAAGAATACAATAGAGCCTCTTGTAATTCAGCTCATGCTTGGTGTGTGTTGGAATGAAGGGAAATGAGAGGGTATTTATAGGTGGAGGTGCCTTGGGAGTGTGGAGATCTTCCATAGCATCCAAAGAGCATCTTCCTTCTCCCTTTTGCCATGTGAACCTTCTGATGACGGTTGAGCGCCGAAAACAGTCACAACCATCATTGAGGTTGGTATCTACCGAACTCAACTTGGGCCTGTGCTAGCGGCCTCTGTTAGGGTTCGGCCGAACTCAGGGTTCGACCAAACCTTGGCCGGCTCCGTTGGCCCCGTTTTTCTCCTGTACACCGATATTGGGGCCCTCATTCTATTGGTATGGTGGATTGACCCATTTGGAGGTGTTTAATTAGTTTTTTGGATCCAAAACTCTATAAGTTTGGATATGAGTTTGATTCTCCTCATTCTTCATGTATATTTTTTCTCAACTTAGATAGTTTGTCATCTGCGTACAAATATACACCAACACTTGTGGACATTTTTACAAGTATACCCTACTGCTATGTTAGATGTTTTATACTTTCAGTTTTATGCAGGTATTAACGGCATAAATTTGATACTTAACAGTCGTCATCAACCGGAAGCGGCGGCAGCTCCTGCCCCCTAGCAGCGGCGGTGGCTCCTCCCCAAGCAGCGCCAGCGACGGCTCCTCCTTCCAAGCAGCGGCGGCTGCTCCTTAGTGCTTTTTCCGGCAGTGGATATTGCTTCTCTCGGCACCTGGTGGCGGTTGCTGCTTCTTCCCAGCGACGAATGGCCACTATTCAAAAAATGCATGCCAAGTCAAAAAAATCGGGACTAAAGATACATACCTAGTTACGGTTGTGCAACCAGGGCGCACAATCCGGGACTAAAGATGCATACAAGTAAAAAAAAAAAGTGATTGAAATCCCGGTTGAAACAACCGGGACTAAAAATGCATACCTAGTCAAAAACAAATGTGTGGGATATGGATTCGAAATCAAGATCTCCCACCTCAGCCATCACGCACGTTACCATCCCACCTACTACATACATCTAACTTGGATAGAGATACTTCCTTTTTAAACTAACCCTAGAGGCATCTTTAGTCCGAGTTAGTATCACCAACCGGAACTAAAGATCAATTTTTAGTCCAGGTTGGTGTTACCAACCGAAACTAGAGATCCTCCATCTTTAGTCCCGATTGGTATCATCAATCAGGACTAAAAAATAATCTTTAGTCCCAGTTAGTAAGACAAACCCGGACTAAAAATGCTTCCAGGGTTCGAGGCCAACCCCTGTGAATAAATTTCACCGTGTTAATTCACCAATGGTATATGTGATCAATTTATTTCCTCATCAGGTTCAGGCCCAGCCAATGGTATTTGTGATTAGCTTGGTTCCCCGTCAGGTTCAGAGTAAATTTCATCATTAATTCACCGATGGTACATGTGATATCTGTGATCAGCATAGTTCCCCATCACACGACCAAATCTTGCGCTAAAAGTTTATTACTCCTATTTATCAATCCCCTATCACACAGTATAAGACATGACCTAACTTGGCACGATATTCAAAACTAATATTTAAATTATAATTTCTTATATACATATAAGGTTTATAGCAACAAAATTATAAACATATCAAAGTAAATTCAAATGTCAATCCAATAATATTATTTTCAGCAAATAAAATTCAATCCATATTATACTGGTCAAAATATACTAGAAGTTGAATTTTAAAAAACTTGAGCTATGGGATGGATGGAGTACTATATAGAGATTGGGCATTTACTGGCTTCCTGGCAACTCGGTCTTGTTGCCGTCAAATCTTTTTCAAGGAGAAATCTATCATCCCATTAATCTCGACCGGGTCAAAAAAAATGCAGCAAATGCAACTATGCAACCGAAGCACGTTATAGGCTTGACAATTTAAATACTGAACTGCGATCTAATCATCTCTTCATACAGTATGTAACCGAGTTAGTGTGACATTCAAAACTGATGTACTTTGAAAACGCAAATTTTTTTGCCTAACAAAAAAAAAGTATGACATTCTTAAGGGGAAAGGGATGCCCAACAAAACCATTCCACCAATCGAGAGTGCCATGTTCCAGTTCATGGCAAAAGAAAAGACCAATTCAAACCACCAAACTAATGTATCAAAATCCAAGAGGAAGATAATCCTGTCGAACTACGCCCTCCCTTCTTTTCAGCCCCAGAATCTGCTGAGAAGACCCTTCTTCTCCTTCTTCATTCTGTTCTCAATGTTTGGGAACTCGATCGCATTGTAGGCCATATCAAGAACAATAGGATTACACGGAACTGATTGGAATGGAGGTGGGAATCGTGCAATGCGACATGGTGTTTTGGTATTTGATTCACCGAGTGCTGATTCATAGCTTTCTAGCATATCAAGAAGGAAAGCCTGCTGCAAAATACCAGTATATCATCAAAATCTGTTTGAAGATGTTCTATACCAGAACTTTCTTTCAATTGCAATGATCCATGGGGTAATAAAATACACAACATAAAGTGCTACAAAATATTAACTTAACTTGCAAATCTAGCCTACTTAAACTTAACGAACAATAACATCCTAAGACATTCTTAACCCTTCACATGCATGCAGAAGACATTCTTATTCTAATAATTGTACAGAACAGCACCAACAGAAGCTTGTCATGTCAAGCATCTAATTGTTAGTCCCTCAATCCACAGATATTGCTTCAGAACATTAGAAACTTGAAGTATAAATTATTAATTGTTTTTAAATATTTAAATTGATGCATGAAAAATATGTGTGGATTCTTCTTGACAAGTATAAATTATTAATTGTTTTCTTGTCCATCAGGATTATGCATAAATTACAATGGACACACTGGTTTATGACTTTATGTTGCATTTTATGGATCATGTCGGTGTTCAAACATGTATTTGTGGCTTTAGAGAGTAACTGTCAAGTACATCTCATCTTTGCGATCTAGATATCTGTTTAAATATTTAAATTGATGCATGAAAAATATGTGTGGATTCTTCTTGACAAGTATTTGTCCATCAGGATTATGCATAAATTACAATGGACACACTGGTTTATGACTTTATGTTGCATTTTATGGATCATGTCGGTGTTCAAACATGTATTTGTGGCTTTAGAGAGTAACTGTCAAGTACATCTCATCTATGCATTGGACTACTCATTGCGATCTAGATATCTGTTGTTCTAAGTCTTCAAACAAACCAGCAAATGAATGAATTCTAATCCCCTCAAGTTCCCCTCCTGGTGGACATGCTGACATATGTGATGACTTAAACCAGTATGTGGATCCACATGCCAGCATCATTGTTTGTGTTCTAATTTTACCTATGCTAATGTTAAAGTAGAAAAGTAGCTATATTTAGGGATGGAGGGGGTACTATTCTAAAAAATGTTTGTCAAATATGCCATCGTCGCACTATTCTGCTGATCTTAGACATCAATGGTAAATGACAGGGCATCCCACAAATGATGCAAACCTTAGTAAATGTCCACATTGAGTAAGTCCTAGAAACATACCTTTCGTTCACCAAGTGACAATGTTGAGACACCTTTCGAAAGTCTTTCAGGAACATTCTCTTCCTCCATAATACCTGTCGCATGTTCTATGAAGCTATTGGATCTACAGCTGTCAGAAAGAGCCTTAAGATCTTGGACTAAGGCCTGTAATAATTAGCATTTGAGTTAAGATTCTGTGTACATTTTTTAACACAAAAAACATGAACGACAAGCATGCTGAGAAAACCATAAGTCATTACTTTGAAAAATTCATTGAACAGCCCAAAAATTATGTTGATAGAATAACTGGTCAACTTAATCCCTCCATTTTTTAATAGATGACGCCGTTGACTTTCAAACACATGTCTTATTCAAAAAGATTACGCAAATGTATAAGATATAAGTCATGCTTAAAGTACTTTGAATGATAAAACAACTCACAACAAAACAAATTATAATTACGTAAATTTTTTGAATAAGACGAATGGTCAAATGTGACAAAAAGTCAACGGCGTCATCTATTAAAAAACTAAGATAATAGATCATTTATAGTTATATGGTGTCATGAACATGCATGGGTATTGAACAGGCCAACTGTGCTAGCTGCTTCAATCCCTGACGCGGTTCACAAGTAATACTCCCTCCGTCCCATTTTAAGTGCAGCCATGATTTTCCGTGCCCAACTTTGATCGTCTGTGTTATTTGAATTTTTTTTAAAAACAATAAAAACATAAGTCACACATAAAGTACTATTCATGTTTTATCATCTAATAACAATAGAAATACTAATCATAAAAAAATTTCAAATAAGACGAACGATAAAGTTGGGCACGGAAACTCATGGCTGCACTTAAGATGGGACGGAGGGAGTATAAGACTATCACTTTCTAGATGAGCATTAACAGCATGTGACCAAGTATTTGACCAGGATTGAAGCTTCGGGTGTATTTGGTTTGCTACCATGCCAAAATGTTGGTACTACCAAAACCTAGGCAAATTTTGGTAGTGCCAAAATTTTGGTAACTTTTCATGTGTTATTGGTATATTTTGGAAGCAAACCAAACACTAACAAAATACTGTTCAAAGTGCCAAACAATTTGGTAGGGCACATTTTGGCTTCGAACCAAAATGGCCCCTTCATGCTTGGACTAGATCTTACAACTCTAGTCATGAACTCACAATTAAACAGTGCTCAAGATCCAAAGCAAAAATGCTACTTCATCCGTCCCAATATGTAACAACCTAGAATGGGTACTACGAATCTGGACACAGGCTGTGTTTAGTTCCAAAATAATTCTTCAAACTTCCAACTTTTCCATCACATCAAAACTTTCCTACACACAAACTTCCAACTTTTCCGTCACATCGTTCTGATTTCAACCAAACCTCCAATTTTGGTGTGAACTAAACACAGCCATAGGAAATGTCCAGATTCGTAATCCTAGGATGGGTCTAATCCCAGACCCATCCTAGGTTGCTACATATTGGGACGGAGGGAGTAGCAGATAGTGGGTTGGTACCAGATTGGCTCTGGTGTAGTGGCAGATAGCATGAGCTACGGACACTATATTCTCCCATGTTATTGTACAGAAAATTTTTAAATTTGAATTATCTATGAGCATATATACACACTTTCCTTTGCCAATCTAACATAAACAATATGAATTCATTTATGACAAACTAGGCATATGCATATCTTAAAAAGGTTGCAAACTTGTGTATGCAACTTACAAATAGTGCCCGCTATCATGGCAGCTACAAATGATATTGACCTATTGTGGCCGTTGCCACCACTATTACGTCCACTATTCCATACCCACTGTTTTGAAATTTGAATTGCTACGTTGTTACAGTAACATCGAGTCACCTTAGAGCCCACTACCACTACAGCGGCCACAAAGTGGCCACTATCACCACTATTTAGTACCATGCTCATTACTAATAATACAAGCCCAAAATGGTATTGATGGTGACACTCAAATCAACGATAAAAATATTAACCATAATCTAGGAGCTACTGAATTCTTATTGATCATAAAAAAAATTGAAACTGTGGCTAATACATTAAATAACATGACATGTAATCAGCAAGAAGAATGTTGGGTTTAGCAAAACCTTGTCAGGACTGTTAGTCAGCTGTTGCAGTGCAGAATCAGTGATTGAACGGGCATGACAAAACAGCGCGTAAGATTCAGCCCTTTTACCGGCTGAACTGTATGACTTTGCCAAATAGAAACATCTGCACAGTTTATCAATTTAACTTGAGATTAGACATCATTAGACGCACATTTCTATAACTCAAATGAAATTCTATAAACCTAGCAAGTTTTAAATAAAAGCAGTAATTTTAAAATGTGACCACAGAAAATGCCTTGTAGCAATGTTCATTTCAGGGAGTTGGAAACCTTTCCCTCCCACACGGAAAAAGAGGTAGTTCACACGCAAAAGAACTTGAAAAATGGATTAATATGATATTTTACAGCAACTTTTCAATATAATTTTTTTTTCAAAAACACACCGTTTAGCATTTTGGGAAACGTGCGCGCAGAAATGAGAGTAGAAGTTGGGAAACTGTACAAAAGAACACAGCTAAATCTTGATAACTCATTATTGAGGACATGGTTTAGTAGATAGGTAATTGGCGTAGTTGAAGGTTCTTGTAGCAAGCAAGACATTTGCCAATATCATGATTAATTGTGAGGAGGTTTACAGCCAAAGCAGAGAATGTGCATGGAAAGCAAAAGGAAATTCAAGCTCGATTTGTAACAGACCTCTCAGCTCGGAAAGCCAAACTTTTCAGCTCATACTCCTGAATAAAAGTGTTCTCTTCCTTGTTTTTATCCCTTCCTGAGCTAATTAAATCAGTCAGATCTGTTGTATTCTGCAAATTAAAGCAGCTTCACATCAGCAAAAGAACACAATTCTATAAATGCCTGATATAAAAGAAACCTTACTTGAATAAGCAGATCATACAACCGAACAAGTTCTTCTGGTTTTGTGATTTTCTCATTCTTCTCATCCCGGTGCTTGGTAAACTTGCTTTTAGCAATACTAACGAGTAATTGGTTTCGCTCAATGGTTCTGAATCCCAAGACAGCACTAACAGCCTTGTCAAGACCATTCAATTCATCTCTTATATTCTCAGCATTGCCAGCAGAAGCCTGCATTCAGAAAAGAAGAATGTGAATTAATATTATATGATGCATAGAATTCTTCTAGAATATAAGCTGCTGCGCATGCGTGTGTTTCATACCAAGTCATTGCGGATGCAGCTCCGAGCGTCATGGTATGCAGAAAATATTTTGTCAAAAATGCCAAGTTTTTTGTCCGCTGGAACTGATTCTGTGTTTGCACCATTCAAGTCTTTCTCCAGCTGTTGAGCTGATCATATAACTAGATTAAAGAGAATTCGACAAGTAAAACTAAGCAGACGTAGCAATTTGTTTTTTTATCGAATACACAGGAGATCTGCGTATATTAAGAAGAAAGAGGGGGTAGAACCCTGAGTACAAAACCAAACACGCACCCACTGAGTTGTAGGAACCATGCGTATCGCCAACCTGACCACAAACACAAAGAAAGATGCTGCATACCTTTCAAAATGGAGACACGGGTCTTTGCATTAGTAATTGGAAATCTGCGACCAAGCCAGCTAAACTCGGTCATGGAAGCTGCCTGCTGCGATCTTGTCTCAGATAATACAGCCTGAAAATTTCCCCAACATAAACATATTAGAAGATGAAAAAAAAAGTTTGGCTGACTGAGAATACATGAAATTATCATTTCCAAACAGTTAGAAATCTAAGCATGGAATTGATAGCAAAAATTGTGCGCAGCCTAACATCAGCTGTCAGGAAGAGTGAGATTACCTAGCGTGGCATTTATACTCCTCTTTCAAATATGCAATCCCAATGGCCAAGAATATATACCCAAACTAATGTAGCACTATCCGGACTAGGATAATAATTCCTTTCTGACTTCGTTAGAAAATGAATTAGGCTGAATTAGCATGTCCAAATTTCAAAGTTGTCCATACAAAGAGAGTGGGGGTTTCAAGGAACTACATGATTTGTTCTATGACATATGAATAAATAATCCAACAAAAATAATCATACCAAAATTGTTCATACCAGCAAAATAATAATAATTTGATCATGAAATTTTCACGTTGACGAAAGATTGTCCATTATCGTAGTAATTTAAGGATGCAGAATTAACAAGCATCGTCCTAACTGCATTTATTTTACTGTATTCCCACAAGTGCAAAAGAAATGACTAACTACGTTGTGCAGATACTACGCCCCGCTTTGTTTGGGCTTCTAGCCAGCTTCTCAACCACAAAAGCAGAAGACAAAATAAACAAGCTGATTCTAAACCATGATTTTGGAAAAGTCAGGCCCATCAAATACTGTACCTACAACCCACTGGGGGCAATTAAATTACCCACAATGCCATCAGATAAAAAAGGCACATTTCTCTCCTGCCTATTACCCCTTCCTCCCAATGACCCCATGGGACAAACTGCACCCATAAGGCTAGGGGGCAAAGAGGATGAAGTCTAGGAGCACACCACCTCTATACACCGTCTCCTGCTGTCCCATTCAATTCACCACCACCTCACTCCTAGGTCAAGCCACCTCCTCTGCTCACTCCTTGCAGGTTGGCTCTCTCCATCTCCTAACTCCTATGCCAGCGCTGCCCCATGCAGGCCTCTCCAGTAAAACTCATCATGTCGTTGACTTCTGATCCAGTCATCATTAATTCATTACTAATGGTCGAGATGATCCGGCTGCAATGAAGATGTCAACTGATCATCATATCGAGCGGTGGCCTTCGTAGATGTAGGTTTTATGTTTCTTTCCCCTTAATTTGCATGACCTTTGAGTAGTAATTCAAACATTGTATGTCTCAAGAAAGAATTTCATTGCCTTTGTATATCCGGAAATTGAGATGAACAGAGCTAGTTGCTCATCAGCATTTGGACGATGCAATTTTCTGGTTTGGAAATGTTCATCTCTATAGTCAAGATGTCAATTTGTGTTTGTGGATTTGGCTGCATCATTCACTGGTATGCAGATCCTATATGTTCGTTGAATTTTTACACTTAGCACTTCACAGAAAAACTGCAGTACAAAACAGTTTCATTGCTTTCAAGGATCTCACAAGCTCTAACTGCTTCTCATGCATAAGCCAGAAAAGCATCTTCTGAAGAATCCACTGAACAGAACAGGTGGCCTAACAACAACATTACTTCCTAGCAAGAACTAAACAAGTTGCAAATATCATATTTTAGGTTGAGATCATATATAGTTAATATGTCTATGAATTGCAAGACCGCTAAAACCACAAAAGTTCAAACATTCACGTTTCATGTCATAACAAATGTGTTCAGTAATAAGGTCTACATGATTTAAAACCCTAGTGCATTGCAATCAACAGTGTATTTTCAAAAGGATTCTGACAAATAAAAAATGAGGGAACCAGTCATACCCCCATCTGCCCCCTCACCTACAACAGAAAACTAGTAAAAAAGTATCATGTGCATGCACCACCGCTCTCCCACCTTACACACAATACCACTTAAAAAGAACAAAAATCCAATTTTAAACAAATTCTCCAAGGTTAAACCATGCACTTATCTCTACACCAAACATCCCATGTCCTCTACATAATTCTTGAACAACATCAAACATATATTATAACAGTAGTAAGAAAACAAATATATATACCTCAATCTTAGCCTTGAAAAGATCATAAGCAGGCCCCTCCTTTTCCAGATCTAGTAGTTCATGTGCTTGCAAAGCTGATCCGCCTAGTTTGCGAGAGCAAAATCCAATCATAGGTTCCACTTCCTCAATGCGCTGACGGCATAAAAGTTGATTTTCTATACTCCCATATTTCCCAAGCTCCTCATATACAGCCCTGTGATAAAACAATACATCACTCAGCCATCAATGATCTCCCAACAATTATAATGCAAAGAAGATTTAGCAGTGGCGCTGATTATCAAATATGTACAAACAACAAGGAGAACAATTATGGAAAAATATATGCAAGAAATAATGGCCAAACTTCTAGAACCTAACCTGGTGTTCTTGAAATTTGTCATTGCTGCCTCTATGTTCTTCTCTTGCTCAAACAGCAAGGTACCTTTCATGTATGAAGCATATGCCTGCAAAACAATTTTATCAAAGAAATTATTTAATGTTAGTATTGTAAGGGTTATTTTCTCATATGGCAATATCACCTTAAAATTTCTTGATTTGAGTTTTCTCAAAAAAAAAAAAAAGGGGGTATGAAACACACCTCAGCTTCCAAAGACGTCCTGGAATCTCCTTTTAGAGAACATAAATGTGAAAAAAGCGTTGCCCATTTGACAGCTTTTCTAAATCTACCTAACATGTAGATACGCTGTTGTGCATTTGGACCAGCAGTTTTCTTTTCCATCGCATGACTCCATGCTCTCTCAGCCATATAAAATACTATGTGTAGAAACCTGCTCTCATATGTTGAAATTACTTCAGAATGTAATGATGCAATAAATGTCTAAAAACTACACAAATTCAACTGTAATGCTCAATGCCATTGTACTTCTTGATGAAGTCATTAAAAAAAATGATGTGACATACATATATGGCGATAATAATAAATACTTTTGCTGGGTGATGGGAATAGCCTGCCAAGGAACAATCAGAGGCATCATATGCAATTACCAAACAAGGAGTGCAAACATTTAGCAAACAATAACTATGAAGCAAGATTACACTGAGCTCATCACTATGCGTTTATGACAGGGCACCAAACGGTTTTAATCATCCTCAATAACCACCCAATTTCACCTTCTTTTGTGGTGCTGCCATGGTGGTGGTGTCTCTATGCGTGTGCTCTGGTTTTCACTAAGGAAAAATGATGGATATAGGAACTTAAGACTGTCATAGGACTCCAACCCAATTATCCTAGACACCCAGGAGGTTAACAACTTCTACCACCAGGTCACTGGTCTGTTTCCCTACTATTGCTCTTAGCAGCTTAAGTAAGATAGCAGTCCCAAATTGGTTCACTAAATAGTTTAGGTGGAGCAATATCCTGAGATCTAGATGGCAAGAAGGCATCATGCTATGAAGTATGAAATGGTAACTTCTTTCAACTTTGAAAATGGGAAGACAACACCCGGATATTGAAGTATGAACAGAGACACCAAGCTATATAACAGATTATCAGCAGAAAGCATCACACCTCACATCTGTGACTGTTGACTCTGTTATATTCCTCTTGGTATATTTACCACGGCCATGCAGAAACTTGAGAGACTTGTATAACCTTCTGAGACGTGCGGTACAGTATCTCCTGCAGGTCATGAACATCCTTGAGACAAAGTGTAACCAATAACATGAAACATTAACTAACTAATTACAGAAAAATAGTGGCCCATGCAAGTGCAATGCATTTCACAATTGAGGAGTTGTCTGAGGGTGCAGGGGGCAGATGTTGGAGGAATGGCAAGTAAAAGAATATATAGGTTGATTTGATTTTGATTTACTTGGGTCTAATTAATTATGATCATTGTTAAGAAATATTAGGGGCATATTAGACTTTTCACATCTCCTGTATACATTTGCCCTTTAGGGCTAGATCAACTGTACTGTGGAAAATCCCCAATTCACTGAAATTGACATGGTATCAGAGTCTCTCCTCAATCCCTAACTCTAGTTCAGCTCCCTGGCGAGCAGCCAGGGGCCCGCATCGTCGGTCATCATCATCACCTAAGTACGTCATCCGTCGCAGTCACCACCCATTCGTCATGGTTGTTGCGTGCCTGCCGCCAGTCGCGGCCGCCACATGTGTGCTGCCTCTCATCGTCGTCATCTGCTCCAACCCGTCCACAGCCTGCAGCAGTAGCAAGTTCCTAGCCACTGCCGACCTCGTCAGACCCGTCGTTCCCCTCTGCGGTTCCTCGTCAATCACGGGGCCATCCTCACTGTCCACCTCGGATATGTTGCATTGCCGTGGCTCGTCGTCGTCAGCAAGCCCGGCCAGTCAAAGCCACCGCTGTCGCGGCGCCCGTCTCTGCTTCGTCCATCTATCGCGCCATCGGCTGGTGCCGCGTCATCTGTCGTCATTCGCAGAAGGCAGCCATCAGTCGCCCTTGCTCTCTGCTGCAGGGAGTGGTCAAGCTCTTCACCCAGGACCTGCTGGCAGCTGCACGTCCTCAAGCAGCAGCAGATCTGTTTGACCTCGAGTATCCTCTTCATCATTCTCACCAGATCAGGTGATATTCATGGGGTTTAGGCTCAGATCGAGTCTATTCTACTCATTGTCCTCAAGCTCCTTTTGTCTTCTAGCAGTAGCAACAACAGGCTTAGCATCAGCAAGTTCCAATCCTCTTGCTATCATCATCTCTACTACCTACTATATTATTCATCTTCATCAGTTGCTTAATCTCATCTGCTAGTGCATTCAGTTCATCCAAAGTAATATCATGTGACTGCTAGTTAGTGTCTTTGCTGCTGTTATAGGATATTCCTCTCCAAATGTCTTTTGCTAGTATCCTAAGTCATCTGCTAGTTTAGATTGAGCCACCACTATGTCTTTTGCTAGCATATCAATATTCTCTACAAATCGATTTCTTTCCTATCTAGTCTATCCACTCAGTCCAGCCACATATCTTCTAGTATCATTGTGTCATTTACTAGTTCCCATTTACTCCATCAAAGTCAGTGCCTATCCTTCAATTCGTTGAGGTCATGCCAATCTATCTCCAACTTGCCCGGCTTCCCGTCGGAGTTGGTCTACGTCATCAGTTCACCAGCTCCATGTCAGAGTTGGTTATCATCACTTCATCAGCTCTATGTCAAAGCTGATCATCATCATCATCTAATAGTAAAGGCCCAAGAACAGTTTGTGAAGGGCCTCTATCATCATCATCATCGAAGTCTCCGAATCAGTGAAGGGCTGAAGAATGGTTCGTAAAGGCTGTAAGGAACCGAGGGTCAAAGAACAATTTCTGAAGGCTCCGAGGTCACTTCATTGAGGAGGGGACAGATCTTTTCTTCTTCAATATCCAAGAATTGGCACACTTTGACGACATCATCAAGACTTTGGAGATATGCCAATATTTACTTTGTCCTAGTTTTTAGTTTTACCTTTCAAATGCAATGTTACTGCATCATTGCATTTGAATGGGGGTGTTAAGAATATTATGGACATTTTAGACTTTTCACATCTCCTGTATACATTGCACTTGCCCTTTAGGGCTAGATCAACTGTACTGTGAAGAATCCCCAATTCACTGAAATTGACATTATCACAGATGGAATAAAATAGTGGTAAATTACATACACTAGTAAGTGGTGTCAATGCCAAGCCATATCACATAGACACTACTCTAGAAACTAATTTGTCAATGTATTATTTCTAGATTAGGGATTAACATAAAATTTCCTCCAATCCTCCTCCTCTCCCTGTTTCCCCTTGTTACCTTCTTGGTTTACACGTAGAACTGATTCTTACATGAGATCACTCTCTCCTCAATAAATCTATTGCTAACTCTATCAAAAATCCCATCTAGCACCCTATTCAATACTACAGGAACTATCCTACATGAAGCACTGGGACTGCTCTGATCCTTTCTGTAATAGTATAAATCCTAGATACAGACTAACTTGTAAATAACAATCAAAAGCAAGATAATTGGGCAAAACAAAAAACATGCCACGGGATTGTACTAACATAGAAACGAAAATCCTTTCAAGCACCTCTGCCAGGAAAAAGAGCAGGCATTGCAGAGCAAATATACATTTCTCATCATTTCTCAAAATGAAATTAAGGAGACGGTTTCAAAAAAAAAAATTATAGAGATTCAGTATATATATACCAAAAAAAAAAGGTTTGCATAGAACAGTTTGGATCGCAAGTAGCTATACAATTAGATGAGGGCAATCCATCACAAGTCCATCAGAGACCGCAGGAGATAAGATCGGGAGCCTTAGACGATTCGATCTAACACGGGGGGGCGGAGGGGGGAAATCGTAGACAGATCTGGTAGGAAGTCCGGGAGCGCGCACCTGTACCGCGTGTAGTCGCCGTGGCGGAGGCCGTGCTGCATCTGCGCCTCCCTCATGAGCTCCAGCACTGCGAGGAGGAGAGGAGAACCGGCGGCGCCCGGATCAGCAACTAGGGATCGGTCGTGGAACCATCGGGGAGTGGGGAGAGGGGAGGAAGAGAAGCCCACCGTTGATGGAGAACCTGACGAGCGGCTTCTCCTCGGCCGCGGCGTCGACCTCCATGTCCGACGGCGGGGGCTGGTCCGCGGGCTTCGACATGGCTGGCGGCCGGCGGGGTGCGCCTCCGGTGCAGCCGCGGCGTAGCGTAGCGAGGGAGGATTGTGTTGGGTTTTGCTGGGTTGGGGGCCGGGGGTACTTGGATCCGAGTCTCCGAGACTGTTTCACGGGGTTATACCGTCTATCTATCGTCTTTCGTGTGTTAGTACTACCAAGAGAGAAGCGTAGTGAGAATATTAATCCAAACAATAAAACTAAAATGTTAGGGAAGTTTTTTTTTGTCAAAACAATTGATTGTTATGATTACTAATAAATTATAAATACTCCATCCGTTTTATATCATAATTCGTTTGATTTTTTTTCTTAGTCAAACTTTGTTAATTTGATTAAATTTAAGTGGTATTCTTTTTCTCCTGAAAATGAAGATAAAGATGAAGATTAAGTTTTTTATGCAAAACGAGGTGGTATTAACGTATGATTGATTGAGTTTTAATTATTACAAACTTGAAAAATAGATTAATAAGATATTTTAGAGCAACTTTTATATAGAAAGTTTTCGCATGAAACGCACCGTTTAGCGTTTGAAAAGCGTGCCACGAAAATCTAAATCTTCATCCAAACTCTTGTCGGAGAAAAGAACGCGACCATATAGAAAAGTTTAGCAACATCTAAATATTAAATTAGTTTCATTAAATCCAACTTATTAGTCAACACAGAGGAAACTTCTCACTCTGTCCCATAAAACTTCATTCCTAGATTCCAAGGTGCAGTTAAGAAGAGAGATGAAAGATCAAAATGCTCCTGGTTAATAATATAAGATGGGTAAGTAGATAAAGGGTATTGAAAGGATTAAAAATAGTATTTATGGATCGATGATAGAAAGAAGATAATAATTGGTTTATTTTGGGATAAAATTAAAACTCTATAAGTTGATTTATTTTGGAATGGTGGGAAAAACTTTCATACACGAAAAAAAAGCACAAAACTAGTCGGAACCAAGATAAATCGTTCCTATGTAAAACTAACAAGCTCTACAGATATAACCACATTTTATTGACCTATGCTATGTCATCTAGGTCTCTGTACATAAAAATAGTCAAGACCCAGATCTTGTTAAAGTGTATCATCCCGATCTAAAATTGTCATGTTCCTGTTGTGTTCTTTTGTGGTAGGTTGGGAGGAAAGATCCATTGTTCCCCGCGCACATGCTTCCTGAACTTCTAAATGGTATGTTTTTTGCAAAAAAAAAATCTATAGGAAAGTTGCTATAAAAATCATATTTATATATCTTTCAAATTTAAAATATTTAATATTTCATTAATTATGGACAAATGACTCACTTCATTTTGCGTATCTTCTCAATCTTCTATTTTCCATGTGTTTTGGGATAAGGTGGGAATGGGATATGTTCGACGTATCCATGTGTTTTGAGATGGAAGGTTCCTATATATACGTTTAGTACGAGGGGCGAGAGTATAAATGAACCCCTTATTTGTATCGGGTGCTAACCCATCTGTGATGAACAAAAGTCTCATTAAGGATTAGTGCTCACTAATGACAAAACCTCATCCATGACGGGTGGTAACATACCACCTATCACACATCACAGTTGACTCATATGTGACGGGTTATAATTACGAACCATCATGGATTAGAATTTACATTTTTTGAATTTTCAATGAAAAACCATAAAATAATTTTAAATTTTAAATGCAACGGAAAAACCCCTAAAATATTTTAAATATTACTATATCATTCCTCACACATCACTAGCCAGAAGTTTATGATTTTACCACGGCCATGCAGAAACTTGAGAGACTTGTTATGTGTGAATCACAAATAATGTTATTAGTGATGGGTGGAAGTTAGGACTACTCATCTGTTATGGGCCATCTCATTACACCCATCACAGATGACCTTTATCTTTCATGGGGCATGATTGTGACCCGTTATAGGTCATATGTGACATGTTACAACTGTGACCCGTCACAAATGACCTTGTATCTATGGTGGGTTATCCCTATAACCATACCTAAAATGTGATACTTTTCGACCTGTTAGAGATGAGTCATCTCCAACGAGTAGCATTAGCTTGTCACGGATGTCTGGATCTATAGTTGTGTCGTGGTACTACTTCTTAAGGGATGGCCCACATGTCAGCTAGTGAGAAATGTGATTTGGATTGGTTGGTCAGTTTTTAAGAGACAAGGTCAATTTGGATCTTTGTGCAATCCCATCTACCTCCAAACTAAATACCTAAAAAATAGAATCAACCCAACCCGACCCATCCTATCCCTTGAACTAAACATACGCTTAGGATCATATGTGGCGCAAACATGGTTGTCACCTTCCCTCTTCTCTCTCATCTCTCCTTGTTTCTTTCCCATAGTGGGACCATACAAAAAAATTTCTTTTATTTCATAGAGAATTCCACAATGAGCCACTTATTTCACTTAATTTAGACTAGATAAGTTTGCAAAAAGGATCCATTTTATACCACTTACGTACATATCTTCCTCTCTTTATCTCCAGCATGTAGCCAAACTTGCTGGTGAGCTCCTGAGAAGGCAAAAATGTGCATGATAAGCTCTTAGCTGTGATACCACTTAATATGCTCACATCTCTGATTAGTTTGATCTTTTGGTGAGTTGATGATAACTACAATTTGGAACAAACATTGACAACCCGACTACAACTGTACAAGACATAATTGTGTTGTGCCATTGTTGGTATTTGTTACGATCACAAATAAATCCGCAAGCGCACAGATACCGTTGTAGCATTTCATTCGTGAGTATTTAGGGTATCGTTATTTGTTTTTCCGCAGGGGAGGCGGCGGTTTAAAGAATGGGCTAATATATTCATGATCATAGTATGATTAATAAACCACGGTCTAAGCAGGGGTAAATGATAATATAGATGTAGTGTGACATATAGAAGATCATCTCGATAAAAGATAAACTAGATTGTGGAGAAGGACAAAAGAGAGCTATGGTTTATTATATACTTCTATATTTACGATACATAGTTCACAGACAAACATACGTATGCATATACATATACAAGCTTAGGACTTCGTTCTATGCATATAGGCACTACCGAGAGACCGCTCCCTACTGGTCTGCCAGTGTGGTTATGACATTTTACCAATTCTTGCGTCGTACCCGAACATGGAGTATTACAAAGGACGGACATGGTTGTCACCATGTGCTGCCTAAGCTCTATAACCCGTGGGGTATACCCGCATCCAACAACATTTAATCAACCCAAGAACCATGTTTGCGTTGCTAAATAATGCATATAGCTCCCCCGAAAATCCCACCCTACAGATGGAAAAGTAAGAACTAGCTCACCCATTAAAATCACTAAAACGATGCCATGGCATAGATCGACTAGCCTAAACATATATAGCATATGAAATAAGTATAAAAACATCAAGGAAACATATAATTGACAAAGTAGTATATGAACCACGAACACCGATAAATAAAGAAGTCTTACAAAGAGAAAAGAGCACTAGAGCCATACTCGAATCTCCAAGAGGACTAGGAAACAAAATAGTAAGCTACTCTTAGCCTAAACTCTATTAATCTAGAGAGTAATACAAATGAGAGAGAGATTGCTTCTTGTGTGTATTTTGAAAGGGAGAGCTTCTTCTCCTTTTATAGCTGCCCAATGATGGTTACTAATGACAGTTATCACCTACAACTGCCATAGGGAACCAATGAGGGGTTGCCATGTGGAAGGTGGAGATGAGAGGGACCAAGCCTGGTTCGGCCGAACCAGGGTAACCTCTCCACCGCCTTTCTTTGTGAGCATGATGTCTAGGCCCTTGAGTTGGTGCATGGTGGATTAGCCTCAATTATGTTAGTTTTGCTTTTGATTTGTGGGCCCTTAAATCCTTGTGCACTCTCCTAATTGGTCGGAACTGTGTTTCTTCGCATGTCAGCTCATTTTCACCTTCATTTGGTTGATAATCCCTGCATTCACATTATTCTCCAATGACAAGTGGAACTACATTATTTGAAATGAATATGCGTGTAAGAAATATGAGTTCTCTTTATTTTTTTTGAGATAATTGACGGTCGAATTTGGTACTTAACAACCGTCAACAGCCATAGCGATTGTTGACGGTCGTTATAGACCAGTTTCGCCCGTCAATATTACTAAAATAAAGGATGAGAGCTCCTTAAATAGCCTCCCAATGACGGTTAATTGCCAAGTACAAGGATGAGAGCTCCTTGTTCTAGAATAAAGAATTGCACACACTCAAGAACTAGTTATGCTTGCAGTGCACATTTGTTCTAGAATAAACTATTTCCACTTGTACTTGGCAATTAACCTCTTGCAGAGATTACAACATAAAATGGAGGAGAATCAACAGTAAAACAACTAAAGAACCAATCGGAAGCTGTCGAGAATCAGACTTATGGATGGATGGGCCGAGAATTCAAAATTAACACGATCCAATAAGCCCAAAATTCACAAGTCTGAAAAGAGAAGAAGAAGAGGCCACTAGCCAAAATGTGGGCTGGTTGGGCTGGCCCATGGTTCGGCCGAACCCTCCCTCCCCCCCCAGCGCCCTTCGATCCAGGGCTTTGGCTGGACGGCGTGGATCACTCCCCAATGACGGTTGGAGGGCATTTCTGACCATTTCAACCACCACAACCGTCATTGGGAGGCTATTTAAGGAGCTCTCATCCTTCACTCTTGCACACACTCAAGAAGAAGAGCTCTCTCCCTCTCTCAAGTTTAGTAGTATCCTAGTGTTAGTGGAGTAGGAATTAGAATAGTATTCTTAGTCCTCGGATCTTCAGGAGAATTCAGGTATGGCTCTAGTACCTTTCCTCTCTTCTTTTGTAAGACTAATTGAATTAATAGAATATTCCTCTTTATACATCTTCGGTATTTTATTCCATTTATATTATCTGAGTACCAACTTCATTTTATACTTGTATCAATATAGTTGTGTAGCTAGCCTACCAGTGAGGTGCAATGGTGTGGGTTTAGTGTCTGATTACTCGGTGGCTCTATGTCATCTCGGGGGATATAGAGTAGTATTCAATAATGTAGACCTAGTGTCTAGATTAATAAGTATCACTATCTGGGCATATATGGTACAGGTCAGTCGAGGTGGGCTGCTGATGGTGACAGCTCAGTATG